GGGAGGATCCAGAAGAGGCAGTGGCTCTTCTAATATGTTGGACCCGCTGCTTGTGCCTGTACAGAAGGAGAACCATGAAGCCACTGGTCCAGAGCATGAGCCCCAAACATAACACATCAGGGAATGATAACAACACTGCATACAGTGAGTCTCCAGTTTTGTCATGTCGAACCGAAGAACAGTATACAAAATTCTTTTTTACTGTGATGTTCTTATCGTTCAGTGTGCTAGTTAAGTACATAGGAAAAATGATATTTACCAACATTTGAAGAATCCAACACAGGAAAATAGAGGGGAAAATGTACTCAGGAGCTTTAACTTTAAGCTCTGCCCACCTGGAGTTCCCGGGGCTGATGGTGATGGCCTGGTACACGCTCAAGATGCAGATGCTACTAATGGATACCCCCCTCCCCACTCTGTGAAGAAAGAGAAGAAGTTTGCATCCCAGGTCACTGAGGAAGTGTTTCCGCCCAAATGCTGCCATGGTCTGGGGGACTCCTTTACAGAGCAGGGCTAAGAGGTTGGCTACAGTCAGGTGCTTATGAATGAAATCTGTGGACTTCCACCTGTACTCAGTGAAGGAAAGGATGGTATAATGACAGAGAAGTGAGAAATTTCCCAGGATTCCAATGATAGTCTGTGTTAACAAGATCAGACCGACTGCCAGATCCCTGTTGGCCATTGTCTCAGTTCCCAGTCACTGACAGTTTCCTTCTAGGCTAGAACTTCCTGCATGAGAATACGAGGTCTGAGCCATCTATATCACCGCAGCTGAAATCCATTATCTGCTTTTCATTCCTTGCCCCTTGGAAATGCCTACTTAAGGTCTTCTTTTCAGAGGAGCTTCCGAGGACTGAATGAAGAAATTTAAAGAGCCCTTATAATGTACAATCAATCCTGTGAAGACACTCACATGAGGACTTCTTCATGCTTCACAAATCTATGAGGTCAGCACTACTGTGGCTGTGGTTAAAAGATGAAGACAACAGACACACTGGAGATTAAGTACTTGTCCACATCTGCTCCTTCAGGCTGTGTGGGGACTGGGAACCGGCTGGGCTGGAAACAGTGAGAGTGCAGTGAGCCTCCATGGTCTGCTAGACAGCTAGTCAGCTGTGTCCAATCAGACATCAGATCCATGGTTACTTTTGATATGACACCTTGTGTTTGATTTTAGAGTGGTGGTATTGTACAATTTTCGTTACAAGTTCCCATTAATTTGTAAAGCTTTGTTTAACAGGATGATATGAACTATGAGTAAGCCTTAAATATCTTAGTAAATGTGCATGCACTCTGATAATATACTGCTGGACTCTATCCCATGAAAAGTAATGTGTAGTGGATGCAAGAGGAGGTAATTATTAGCATGGCATCAGAAAGGGTCATTGACTTTTATGTGAGGAACACAAGTGTCATAGTAGCAATCACAAGAATTCTTGAATTATCACACATCATTCCATAAACTTTGGACATTTAACACTAATGCAATATAAAATAGTGAAAGGAAGAAATTAAATTATTATTAATTTCAGGTGATGCAATTATCTAGTTATTTATTCCTGAGTTAAGGAAAACATTTATCAATGAACTAAGATTTCTGCGCAATATTAATATGAAAGACAGTAGTGAAAAATGGCTCTATGAGACAAGTATTCTTACACACGTTAGAAACCAAAGTCCTAGGTTTTTGTATTGCTAAGAAAATAATAATAAATGGGTGGTAAGAACATGAAAGAACATGAACTTGACAGGTGTCACCTGGAACTTATAATTTTTATGTGAGCTGTTCCTTACCTGTTGCCCAGAATGAACATAGATAGACTCTAATCCACAGATATGGATGTTTTTATTTAAGACTTAATTACTGTCCCCGTAATTCCATGGTACATCCAGATTTAGAGAATACTGTAAATCAAGCCATTACCCTTTGGATACACTCTCTGCACAAGATCACAGGGTTCCTGTACATTCCTCATACTTTGTACTACAGGCATTGAGGCGCACGTATATATTCATCCTGAAAATTCATTCTACGATTTCTATGATGTAGGCTGCACAGCAGATCAATGTTAAACTCACTCCTTAAGGACTTAAAAATCAGTGTGTATTATTACTTGCACTGCACACTGGCCATCAGTATGAGTGAAGATTACCTTTATTGCATTAGGAGCCATCAGGGGTTGGTGAAGGTCTTGGACCCCATCTCTCTTTAGGAGCTCGGCTCAAGCTTCCTGAATCTTTCGACATTCCTGCATGACTTTCACAAGGAATTCTGTAATACACACAAGATTGCCCTTCTCTGATATGGTTGTTCACCCAGATTCTCATTCCGACGTCATTTCACAAGTCAAAGTTGATTAATTTGGACTCCTTAAAATAACCCAGTGCTAAGTAATATGAAAATAAAGTAGGAAGGTATGTTTGTATACAGACACTGCCTGTCAGACTGAAATAGAAATCCTCACCAACCCCTTCCTGCTGCCGGGAGACGCTCAGTGTGAAGGGCATGGCAGCTGGTCTGTGTGTGGGAGGGGGGCAGCCAGACGCTGAGATATGGGTTTGTGATTCTGTGAGGTCACCTCTCTCACAAGTGCAATTATTTCATTTGTAGCCACACTGGGAGTACCGGCTAGGAGTTCAAGATGTGTCTGAAACTTTTCCACTTAGTTGTTAATTATGAAAAACAATTATGAGTTTCTACTTAGAATCTCATAGGACACCATTGGAGTGTTTGTGGAAGGCTCGGTGTTCCCCCTTGATCCCTGTAGGAAGATGGGTTCTCCTATTAAGGAGAGCAGAAAATACTGTGTTCTGACATATGAGGGATCGGTGGGGAAGGATCTGTGTCCCACTGGGTTTCCTACTTCCCAGAGAAGTTGCTCAACCCAGAAATTAATGACTTTCCTAATCTTCAGAACCCTGAATGGAACCATCATTTAAGGTTATTAGTAGAGAAACAGAATGAGACAAGATACCTGGGATTCATAGGGGTAAATATAAGGCAAAAGAAGAGCATGATGTAAATACCTCACTATAGACATCATTTCACAAGTCAAAGTTGATTAATTTGGACTCCTTTAAATAACCCAGTGCTAAGTAATATGAAAATAAAGTAGGAAGGTATGCTTGACCATTATGGACCACCATTGCTATGGGTGAACAATGTTCATATAAAGAGAAGTTTTTTTGTTTTTTTTTTAAATATTTTTATTTATTTCTAGGAGAGAGAGAGACAGCATGAGCAGGGGAGGGTCAGAGAGAGAGGGAGATACAGACTCTGAAATAGGCTCCAGGCTCTGAGCTGGTAGTCAGCACAGAGCCCGACGCGGGGCTCGAACCCACGAACCGCGAGATCATGACCTAAGCGAAAGTCGGACGCTTAACCGACTAAGCCACCCAGGCGCCCCATCTTTTTTTTTTTTTTTTTAAATTTATTTATTTATTTATTTATTTATTTATTTTACAAATAGTTTATTGTCAAATTAGTTTCCACATAACACTCAGTGCTCATCCCCATAAGTGTTCTCCTCTATGCCCATCCCCCCCTCCCCCCCACATCCATCAGTCCTCAGTTTTTGTCAGCATTCAAGAGTCTCTCGTGGTTTGCCTATAGAGAGAAGTTTCTAAAAGAGACTACGAGTGATTAAAGCAGCAGGATCCGATGGCACAACCAGCAGATTCTACCACAGCTTTAAATATTGGATGACCCAATCCTCAGCTACTTAATTCAAGGGGTTACAACAGTCCTCTGCACATTTTATTATATCTTATTTTATTTAATTTTAATGCTGAATTTTCAGTAAGGAGCACTTACTGATTTGGTAAGAAGATACACAAATTAGGAGTTGAAACTGATCCCTTGTTTTCCTTAGAAACAAGTCCACGTTTGATACAGGTTCACTGTGCAATTCCTAGCCATTTTCAAGTCAGAGCCATGATGGTGAGTAACTCAGGCTGCACACACACATGAATCCTTTACACACATGCAGACACAAACACTCATGTATGTACACACCCACTCTCATACATTAGACACATCCACGATCACTCATGTACTCCCACCATTGCTGTTGAAGCTTCAGTACACTCAGGCACAAACTGAACACATACAAACTCACCCTCATCGACAGTAACATTCACCACACTTTTACACAAACTCACAGTTCACGGTAACTTTAATAAAATCAACATATACTTTCATCACAGGTATGGGTCTCTTTTTGACATGTCCATATATAGAAGAAGCTATCTATCTCTGGACCTCAGGATGCCAGAAATGGGGTCCCTTTTACCATTTCTAATCCTTCCAAGCGTGGTACAACTCACAACGAAAATATTTACAACATACAACCTTAAAAATTGCTTTGAGCACTATCACCCTAATTAGGATTTTAAAGGCACAGTTGGGGTATGTGACAAGGCAGGCGAGAGAGGGGGTTCAGGGAAAGAAGGGCATGGGGACTGGATGGCGGTGCAGAGGTCCTGTGGTGAAGGGAGAAGAGACTGCAGGAGAAGAAAGAAGGCAGAAGGATAAATCTAAACATGTGCTCAGTGTTGCAGGGACATTGTCACATTTGAGAGCACAAGGAGACAAAGTGTACAGAGAAGTGAAGGGTATTAGGCATATTGGGTTCTGCAGAAAATGATGCATGGTTCACCGGAATGAAGGTGATAAAGGGGATAAGTACTTAGTGCGGAAGATATTAATAGCCTATGAGTGGTTGAACTCGCTGGAGACAAGGTCTTGGAGGGGCTAAATTCATGGTGGGAGAGAATGAAGAAGAATAAGTGTGGGGCAAGTAAACTTTGAAAGAAGACTGTGTGGTCCAAGCCAGATAGTAAATGGTTGAATCGGAGAGGTACCTCGGAGGAGACCTTGAATGAGACAAAAGAAGGACAGGGCAGTGAGGGATACAGGGAGGGTAGGGGTCAGGGAGGGAGCCCGGAAGCCAAGAGAAAGGGTCAGCGGTGATAGGGTTGGGGAAATTCACCTTGGTGTGGATTGGGTTCACACAGGAGTTCAGGTTGGGACACCACATGGGATGGCTGTCGAGGACCCAGGAAATGGGTGAGATCCTGGAATTGGGAGTGGTATATTAGTGAGACAAAGAAGGGTCCACGTTTTGCAGGGAAGATGGAAGGTGAGGCAAGTTGCCTTGGAGTCCCAGGAATAGTGGACACATAGAAACAGATGTCAAAAAGGTGATGGGATGGAAGTTGGTATTGGATGCAGAAGTCTCATAGGGCTGAGTCCAAGTGAGGATGTGTGGAGGTTAAGCAGGTGACTAGGTCTTCTGTGGTGGGGAAGTGACGACCACGGTGGGAGAGAGTCATGTGGTGGAGCAGAGGAGTCAGGGAACTGGGAAGGTGGTTTGGGAAGAGGACAGGCTGGAGGTCAATGTTTGACACCCATTCATTAATACTCGATATGTAGTCAATCACAAGCATCAGGGATAGTTTCTAACCTCAGGTAAGGAGTCAAAACTAGCTCATGGTTGAGGTCAAGGAGGTTTTTTTCCTGCTTTCGCATCTAGGGTTTTGATGGTTTTCTGTCTCCCATTCAGGTCCTTCATCCATTTTGAGTTTATTTTTGTGTATGGTGTGAGAAAATGATCTAGTTTCATTCTTTTGCATGTTGCTGTCCAGTTCTCCCAGCACCATCTGTTAAAGAGGCTGTCTTTT